GCAAGTTAGAAACAATAAAGACGGCATAAAACTCCCGAATGTCTATTCTACTTACGTGTATCAAACATGGTGCTCAGATCGCAGGCGGACAAGAATGCCTCGTCCCTTAGCCACTCATGCTTGGGTACCCAGTTTTTGGGTACGCTTACTAACTCGTCGGTTGCTAGGGGCATGGTATTCACCCCAAAGAAATCCGGCTCTATTATTGCCTCCCAGTCGGCGTCTGGAACCTTGGGCTTGGCGCACTTCTGGCCCAACATATCTGGCTTCTTATTGTAGCAGCGATACTCAAAGTTTTCTCTCTATTTGGGGGCAGAAACAAGATAAAACTTGTTCCTCCAATCACACCACTTAGACGGTTTGTCTAAGGTCATGAGGTATTCTGGATGAGTTGTCAATGTGTACCAAACCTTCATTCGCCTTGGTTACGGCTCAGGTAATGCATATGAGCAAAAGCCTCCCAGCCGGGAGGGAGGTTCTACATCTCACAGGCGGCAATGTAGTCCAGATTGTTGACCCAGGAGTTTAGGGTCAACTGCCACACGCCAAGGCCGTATCCTCAAAGGATTGCCTTTATTGCATCATGGAGGGGGAAGCGGAGACCGGTTAGGAACGCCGCCTCATAACAGCCAAAGTACGCATTGGCATTTGGTTTGTTATATTTCCAAGAAATGGTGCCAAGCTCCGGCGACACCCGTATGGCATAGCCCACTCTAAGAGGACGTTTCTTCTTAAAGTTCTCTAAACCTTGTTCCATGTTAGCCCTATCTCTGGCGGAAACATGGATCCGGAAGGGCTCCGTCTCTTTATTCCACTTCTTTCGCTTCTCTTCCTCACTATCCTCAAGCGGGGATAATGAGCCACTACTCTCCTCAAAGCCAGACCCAGAGTCGATCCCTCCATCCTCTCTCTCTGAGCCGAATACAGAGGCGGTCTCTTCACCGTCTCTCTGCTCGTACTCAACTTCTTCATCAAATTCCTCCAGGATCCTATCACTAGGAGTGTTAGGTGCACTTGGAGGAGACCCTCCTTCCTCGCCAACCGGTTCCACCTCATCAGGCGGAACACCGTCTGTACCTTCATCTCTATATATAGTCTGGATCAGGTGCCGTCCACATTAACCTAGGCATTGTGTCCTGCACAGACACAGAGACGGTCGGATTTGGGGAGTTACAAGGGTGGTCCAAACACCTCGAGGCGGCACCTCCAGTCCTAGAATCAGCCGTACTAGGAGACCGGCTGACTACTGACCTAGGTTGTGCCATGTGTGCTGATGGTGAATCCATCTTATTCAATGTTATATACACAAACGGTAAAAGAGCAAGAGGAATAGAGACGGTACCTGAAGTGTTTTTTCTAGAAAGTGTCAAGTGTTGACCGGCTGTAACAGGCGGAAAAGAAATGAGGTGGTTGTCTGAGAAATACACAGGCAGTTGTCAGATTCTCCCTCTCTAGAACGTTTATCTTTCTCTCTCTAGACTTTTTTGAAAATGTCAAAAATGAGGGGGGGGTAAAATTCTATTTATAGAGGGGTAAATTCAGGGGCATCCCTGTAATTTCCCTAGAAGGTGAACTGTTAAAAACTTCTCACCAATGCCTAAGTGACAAGTGTCACAGGCGCCACGTGGCACGCCACGTCACCCCTGTGTAGGGCAAATGTTTTGGGTAAAAATACCCAGGCCATGTGGCCCAATCAGAGGGTGACACGTGTCACCTTAGGAGAGGTTCAAAATGAACCAATCCTCAGCTGACACGTGGCACTCCCAATTATCAGGGAAAAAGACGGCGTTCAGGGCCCAATTCCCGAGAAAAGCCACAAAAAGGCGCAGCCCCCAAATCTAGGTCAGAATGACCTAGGTAGGGGCACATTTACCAACGACCCTATAAATAGGGAGATTTCCCCCGTTTTGGGGACACGTTTATTTATTACACATAATCAATTCTCTCGAAAACAGAGAAATCACCTGATCTCGGAATCCGGGAAGATCTACTTTTACTTTTCGCACTTTTATATCACTTCGAACACTTTCTAACTTGATCCTCGGAGGCAGAACTCCGAACATCCGGAGCTTCCGTTGTTTTGCAGGTACAGCCGGCGGCAAATCAGTCTTGGTGATGTAACTCTCGCGAGGGACAAAAAACCCCGAAACACTTTCCTTGCATAGTTCGGTGCAATTATTTTTGAAGTGGCACATGTTTTGCAGATTATATCCTATTTTTCGACTTCGGCCCTATATATTTCATGTTCTGTCTAAAGTTACGGACAGAGTTGAACATCGTTTTTCGACTCTCATATTCCAACTATCTCTTTTTTCTTAATCTTCCACATACTTATCTTTCATAATTCCTTTTTCAAGTGTTCCTACGCGTTCATATAATACTCGAAATGTCCAAGGCGTGAAAGGTATAAATTATGAGGGTTTAAACCTCAAATGTTTCAATTAATTTATTTTTATTTATATTTTTTTATTGAAGTTACTAACAATTTATTCATGATGTAGTTTTCAAAGTTGCATATTCAAAGTGAGTATTTAGTTCACTTGATTTTATTTGCTCTACTTATTTTTATTGCTTTGATTACTAGTATCATGTTTAGGAATTGATTTTCATTTGTTAGGATCATGTAGGTGTTATATTAATCATGTTAGTATCGTGCATAGGATCGTATGAATAATTGTCTAGTATCATGTCTAAGATGTTTTTAATTCGTTTCTTTTATTATTATCAAGTTGCTTCCAATTTCTATTTGTTTTTACCACTTATATTGCATGTTTTAATCAACACTTGTAATTGAAAATCATGCTTAATAAGATAATTTGGACAATTAGTTTAGGTTTCTATTAAAATTGTTTAATTGAATTAATCACAATAATTGGATTTATGTGTGCATTAAGTATTCAACCAACTTAGATTAATTAGTTTGGAGCGAATTGAATATTGTTTGTATGTCTTTTGGGTTGCTACAACACATGTAGCTATAAGAATTAAGTAGAGGCCAATACAGACGGAACTGACTTCATGACTTAATTTCTTACCATCATCCCCAAATATCCAGTCATGGTCAGGACCAATATGGAGTTAGTAATCTCATGGATTATGAATGGGGTGTAACCTTCATGGATCAAATCGTTGTTTCCTTTCATTTTGTTCCTTTTTGTGGTTGCCTTAAATGATCCATGAATGGTTTACAAGTTCCTTACAAACTTGTTGGCGACTCCCTACTTTTTTGTCCCTAATCGTATAATGTCAAATCCAACTTTCTATAATTGACAAGTATATTCACAACATACTCTACATAGGCATACTTCGTGTGACGCCTATAGTTGGCAATATGAGAAGTTGAAATTTCCATGAATTTTGGTTTATCAAGGGGGGTTTGGGGATTTACTTTCCATGTTTTGTGGGAAAGTGAATTCTCATATCATGAAGTTGAAATTCTCACTTCCTCCATTTTTTTTTTTTTTTTTTTTTTTTTTTGTGTCAATCAAACAACTACCCACTTTATCAATTCCCTCAATTTTCTAATTCTCCCATTTTATGTTGTCAACCAAACAATACCTTTCACAAAGTGGTATAAGAATCCAATATCTAAACCCATACCTCATCTCTACAAGGTATGAGGTTTAGAAACCACATTTCAAGGTATCAAACAAAAAAATTTTGTGATATGGGTTTAAAAAGCACGCAACATTCGTATTTTCTTTCTCCTTATAATCCTTATTAATCAAATTATGAAGCAAAATCATGTACAATATAAAGCTAATTTAATCTAAAAGCACATCATATCATATCACTAATACTACTACGTTAGTTTTATTCTAATTGCATCGGTGGATGATCTTGAAAATATAGCTACTAGACACTATATAACTAAAAAAAAAATCATGGATAAGAAGTTGATACTTATAATAAATTATTTAGGTTGCCGTAACATACATCAGTCAACTGAACAAATTGATTTTAATTTTCTAAATAATGCATTGTATTGTATTGTCGTATATGAAGTACTCCGTGATAGTCAGCCATAAAATTTTAAAAGTTTATTTTGACAGATTTAAATTTCTTACAAACAATTTATATTCTACTTATCATATACTCATACTATTGAAGCCAATTTTAACTGATCAATTAGTTTTAAAAATGATTTTAGTTAAGCCTTGAACTAATATAAGCATATCTCCAATTCAATTCAATTCACCACCAATTGGGATTGTTTTTTTTTTTGTTCATAGTATACACATTAGTTTATAGCATAATTACCTTAACATTTGAATTTATATTTTTTTACAATGGTTTGTATGTTTTGCTTTAATTTTTTTTTCTTTGTATTTAATTTGATTTTGATGTGATGTACAAATTTCTTAATGCTTTTATTACTCAGTGTTGGGTAGAAATGGTACTTTTATATTTTCAACTCCATTTTTTTCTTAAATATTTTCAACAAGATATCATTGATAATGTAATAGTGTAATACCTTTATTTTCTATCTACCTCCTTATACTCTTAACTCTTATTTCTTATTGAATCGGGTGTTTTAATTTTTTCTTTTTTAGGGTATGATTTATTGTTATGGGCACTTCATTGTTTTTTTTTTCTTTTTTTGGTATGACCTATCTAATCGAATATAAATTTGATGAGACATTTAATAATTTGGTATACTTGATTTGTTAGGCTAATCTTATATTCTTGTGGAGACTGTTTCTTGGATAAAGAAATTGGGATGAACTTTGAACTCCATCTTAGACCTTGTTCACTTCACCTTATTCAAACAACATTCAATAAAATAAAGTTAAGTTTAGTAAAATAAGTTAATTTCAATTTAGTTAAAATAAGTTTTGATTAGTAAAAATCAGTAATTTAAAAAACAATATATTAGAGATTCAATAAAAATAAGTTTTAACGAGTAAAAACCATTTAAGTTTAGAAAAATAATTTAATTTCAAATAAATAATTTCAATTGAGCAAAAATAATTCAATTCAGCAAAAATAAGGTGAAGAGAATAAGTCCTTAATAATCATGATAAGAATGTTTACCCTCTTTTTTCCTTGTATTAAGTGTTATTATTACCATGAATAGTGGTTTGGCGCAATTATCCTTACTCTTTCATTGTATTTGCGAATCTGCCATTCTTTTCATTATTTGCTTCTTTTTTTTTTTTTCTTTTTTTCTTTTGTTTTTCTGACAATTTGACACCTCTTCCGAATTTCCTTACAGGTGTCACAACTATTCTTTCTCTTTCATTTCATTTTTATTTCCAAATCTCTCTCTTCTACTCCCTCCCTTTATTTTGCCCCATAGTGTATGTTTATTTTACTAATTGTTGGTTGTGTAAATTTGAGAGAGAGAATAGCGGTGGGTCTAAAACTTTGTTTGTGAGAGAAAAATATTGACCCCTATAGATATAAATGGCATGGGGCAAAATAAAAGGGGAGCAATAATTAAGGGACAGAGGAGTATTTCATTGCATGATATTTCGATTGGATGAACCTCCATTGAATTGATGCAGCTTCTTAGGTCAGTTTTTTTCCTTGCATGTGTACATCGTTTTCAATTTTTCTGAATCTCTTTGCCATTTAACTAACATTTTACTCTTACATTTTACATCTCTTCAACTTGATGAATTTTTCTGAATAAGCATTTCAATTTTATTTTTTTTAAAATTTTGTTTAATTTTGATTGTAAATTCAATTTTAGGATTCGGATAATCAAGTACTCTGCTCAAATGCTTTCGGAGCTCCGAACCTCTGAACTTCCAATTCGTTCTGAATTTATCTTCTTCGGAATCAGTATTTTAGTCTACTCCCGAAATTGAAAGGTTTGTTTTCAATTTTCCCTTTTCTTTCTAGCTTTAGAGTCTTTGTTTCTGGGTTTTTGATTTGAAATTTTGGGTTTTGATTTGGAATTATGGGTTGTTGTAGGGTGAAGCGTGTATGAATGCCCAAGAAATTTTGTGGAGGAGAATCAGAAATTGGCGGCTAAATGTGTGAATTTAGCGAATCAGTGTTTGATTATTCATGCTCTTTCAAATGTGAGATGCATTGATTTGGAATTATGGGTTGTTGTAGGTTGAGGCCTGTATCAGTGTTCGAATTTAGCAAATTAGTGTTGGATAACTACAGTCATCAATGTGAGATGCTTTCGGTGAGTATTTCTCCTCAATTTCAGTCCATGCTCTTTTAAATTCATCCTCTTTCATTTTGATTTTTCGACTGAGATAGTCCAAGGAGGAGTAATTCAGGGGAATGTGAGAACAAAAAACTAAGGATTAACATTAAGTTAGCGTGCTAAATTACTGTCAAACAACCCCATAGCCTATTGTTCTGTTTTCTCTTATTTTATAAAAAAATTTGTGAAATGTTAATTTTTTCATGGAAATTGCATTTTTTGACAGATACTACTGATTTTACTGGAGTTGGAGTAAATAGGTCTCCGGGAGTTGGAAAATAGACAATTATGAGTTATGAATGAGATTTATAGGTTTGATCCTACCTTTCCATGTAATTTTTATTATAACATCCACTCCTAAAGTTATACAATTATTGCTTATTAATAGAACGAAAGAAATCGAGCGATAAGATGCAAACCCTTTTATTCCGATTCTTTAAAATCAGCATTCTTCATTGAAGCTCAAAGTTCTGTACAATATTGATACTCATGTTTATCTCTTTTCGGATTATTATTATTAATTGAATGACTGGGTCGTATTTATGAACTCATGAGAACATGATTCTAGGCTTTCTCGATTACTCTATACTTAATTAGAAATCGGTAATTATGATAGTTGTGAACCCTTGTGCCGAAGGAGTTAAAAGCAGCCGGGTGGTTCTTTCTGTTTCCTGTAACCAACATATGAGGTATCTTATTTTCTTAGTTCTTGTTCTCATGTTGTTTATGTATTAAAGTGATCTTGTCAAGGTATAATATTTCTTTCTTATTTTTGATTTGGAGTGCTGATATTAATTTCAGATGCATTGAAATATATATATTTTCTGATTTTTAATTGAATTCATCTTATGGAATTTATATGTGAGACAAAGTAATTAATTATTTTGCTTTTGGATTTTGTAAAATTTGCTAATTTCTATTGGAAATACTACGTATATGATTGTTGTGGGCAATTGTATCTTTGTACTGGGCACGTCAAATATATGATCATTGTGGGCAATTTTCCCTGGTCCATTTCCTTTTCAATTCCTATATCTTTTATCTAAATTTTCAATTAGTTTCTTCCTCCGCACCTAAATTAAAGGGAATAATAAACCTTTGCCACAATGTCAGTTTGACCAGTTACTTGAATTGCCAAAAAAAAATTTACTTGTAGTTTGGAACATGATTTGGTAGATTTTTGGGAGAATCGAAGGTGGGTGTTTGGTATGATTGGCTTGAATGTACATCTAATACCTAACATTGCCTATTATAATAATATAGTTGTTAAGGGCTGTTAAAGTACAAATTCTAGCTGTTATATTTTGTTGTTTGATGGGTTTTTAGTATGAGAACTTTATAGCTTAGATACATTAATATGCTCTTTTTTCCCCTTTTTCTGGTAACCAATTATCAGTAACACCCTCTATTATTGTATAGAATTGAACGGCAAAAAGTGCTTTGGGGGCTCTGAACTTCTAAACTTTCTCCTCACAAGTATTTCGAACTCTGTGAGTAATTACTGATTTTTTTAATTGTGTTTTGGAAGATATGCGAGCTCTCGACGAGTTGAGGAAGCTGAAATTGTTCTTCAAGGATGAGAGCAGCCATGGTCTTTCAGTTTCGGATCTCTATGAACTTATTCAGCATGCTGACAACGTGTTACCGAGGCTGTAAGTCTTAATCTAAGAACTCATTTTCGTAATTGTGTATTGAATGTTGCTATTGGAAAAATTGGAAGGCTGAAATCATTTTTGGCTATTTATGTGTTTTGGTTTGTGATTAGAGCTATCATTGTTCTGGAAGGTTACATGTAGTTGGTTATTTTTGGAGGGAGGGGGAGTGCGGAAGCAATAAATTTTAAAGAGTAATTTGTTGATCATCATATTATGTTTAACAATTGTCATGCTTTACAGCAACTTTGTTGATCATCATGTTAGTACAAGAGAACAAATTTCTCTCTAGGACAGTATAGAGGGTGTGACTTTACAACATCACAATTTGATCCTGATGTTCAGTACTCTTTTTTAATTTAAAATCTAAATTTTCTTCAAAATCTTTTTCTATTTTTTTCCTAATTTTTTTTGAAAAAAAACATTAACATGTTTTGTTTGTCATAATTCATTCAGTTAAGCTGTGTTACAGTCTAACAGAGCATTTTGGTGATGATGATGCAACTCAGATTGATTTAGACCTTGATGAGGTAATTACATGCTCATCTCTTTATTTGCTTACATTACTGATTTGACTCTGATTCAAAAGGATCATTTTTCTTTAGCCAATATTATCAGTTTCTTGTGCTGGTTTACCCTATGTTTTACAAGGTTCTTTTGAATATAACTTACTTCTTGATTTTGGTGTTTCCAAACTATTTTCTTTAGATGTACTTTCACTTATCGATCTTGTTTCACGACTACTTCAGTATTCACCCAGTCTTCGTTCTACTGGAGTAAGTAACCATCGTCACCCATCACCCCTTTTTTCCCCCACTTTTTTTGCACAATCTCTTTTGGTCATTCTTAATTTCTTATTTCCTTATTTGACCTTGCCTTTATGTAACAGCCTCCCTCCTCTTCCGAGTAAAAAAACTTTTACAGGAAATGATGGAATGAGTTGAATTCAAGGAAAAATGAGTCCATCTACATTAAATTTCCTGTAAGTAATCTTGTTAAATTATATTATATGGTATTACCTGTTCGTAATTTTTTTGCAAATTTATAACCTGAACTTACCTTTTCCCCTTACTATTAGTTTGCAGTTGGATGCATGTGTTCTTCCTTTCTTTGATGAGCTTATGGTTCCCAATACTCGCCTTCCAAACGGTAGCCCACTGTCACCTTTTTTCAATTTCATGCAAGAAGTATGGACCGTTAGTATTATATTTGACGTCAATTTCGTTATATGTATCTACTTTATGAGCAAATATAAGTAGACAAGTTCACTAGCTGAAATAAAAATAGAAATTGATTCTTGAGCTAATCCATGTGGGTCTAAATTTATTGCATGAATTTCAGTATTCCACGTGACAGATCAATTTGTTAACAAGATTACTATTGATGATGAAGCTCTCATTCAGTACATTAAGAAGGATTTTTTCTTTTTTCTCAACATTGTACTTTCACTTTTTTAACATTTTTATGTTACATTGTTACAAGTACTTGAGGGAAAATGAAGAGTTCTTATAAAATTGTTATGGTTGAAATTTTGAAGGTTATATCCAAGAGAAATTCAGAAGAGGCGTAAGTATGCCTAGGGAGGGAGGTGAGACCTTGACATGTTGTAATGAAGCACACGGCCTTGGAGATGACTATGACAGATCAACCCGGCTTACTATCTGAAATGTCAGCTGAGCTTGTTGAGCTGGGGTGCCATATCAGTGCGCTGGGGTGCCATGTCAGTGCCTGTGTTGCATGGACCCACAAACACTGGGGTGCATGCATCATCTACGTAAATGACCAGGAATTGAGCAGACCTATAACTGATCAGAAACGCCTTTTTCATATATCTACACAAACAACAAGGCCTTTTTTGAGCTGAGCCTAAGTATCGAGTTCAAATTGTAATCATTTTAGTAATGTCTACATCAATGGAGGTATAAGTTTAATTTTTTTTTTTTTTTTTTTTTTTTTAAAAGAACTATACATAGGAAAATGGATAGCTTCAATATGAATGTAGTTGAAATGATGATGATGCGTGTATGTTTGCGAATCACAAGCATTATATAAGAATTTGGTGGTAGATAGGTTAAATATGATCATTGTGAATACAAATGTGGTGAGATGTTAAATTGACTAAACGAGAGTGAGATTGGGCTATTGTCTTTGTTTTCTTGTTAGATTACAAGCTCTTTTTGTACTGTATTCACTTGGTGCTATTGTCTTTGTTTTCCAATATATGAAATGATGCTGCCTTTGGTTTGTCCAATTATAGAGCAATTTCTTAATTTGCTTGTAGTTCTGAATCTAAGGGAGCTTAGTTATTGGAGTTATCTTGTAACTTACCAAAAATATTTTTTTTTAATGTTTGTAATCTTTAATTAGATAATTGGAATGATAGGTGTTAAATTTTGTTTGAATTGAAAGGGTTTCTAAATTTGTTGTTTGAACTATCTTTTATTCTCATCTAATTAATCGGAAATGGTTTCTAAAAATGCTAATTGCTACTAAATATTTTTAAAAATAAAAAATTAAAAAACATAAAAAAAAAGCATAAAAAAAAACTGGAATTGCTTGCTTCAGAAATAAATTGATTATGAGGTCTATGGTGATTTAGGTGATCTTTGCTGATGGAACCTTCATTGATGGTAGTACCAGTGAGCTGTCATGTGATGGACCACTGAGGGAGCCGTTTGCGTATCCTATCAGTTCTTTACTTATCATCCAACTTTTGGATCTATCTCACATCGCATGTTTTTCTTATTGCAACAATGAACAAATTTATGGTGTTCTTTATTTATATGGGATGTTTGAAGTCATGTTAAATTGAATTGGGATGCCTGAATCTGATGCAGGGTGGTACTCTGGGGTTGGTTTTGGGAGAGGTTCTTAAATCCATGAGTTAGAGCAGAGAAGCCAGTAGCATTTTTTTTCCGGAAGTATTATTCTTTTAGCCGAGGTAAGGAGAAACCTTGTGGCACTTTAAATCTGTAGCGTTAACCAAAGAAATTCGATAGCATTTGGGACCCAAATCTTTCATAGTAAATTCTGAGCTGAGAAGAGAGAGAGAGAGAGAGAGAGAGGTAGAGGGGAGCAACGAGAGTGAACTTTTAATCGATTGTTTTAAAAGTATAAGATGACTATAGGCAAGTAGGAAGATACTTCCTTAAATTTACATAGCCTTAAAAAATAATTTTGAGGAGAGCGTAGAGAAGGAAGGTAGAATGAGAGCAAATACCTTTAATAGGCATAAGTGATCATTTTAAAAGTTAAAGCATAAGACAACTATAAGCAAGAAGGAAAATACTTCCTTAAATTTGCTCATTAAAAATAAGGAACAATAATGAGAGGGAGAAGGAAGGTGGAAGGAGAGAAAAAACACTTTTAGGAGACGATTTTTAGAGTAGTAGTAGCAGTAGCAGCAGCAGTAGTAGTAGCAGTAACAGCAGCAGTAGTAGTAGAAGCAGCATCAGTGGCAATAGCAGTAGCAGTGACAGTGGTAGTAGTAGTAATGGGAAGAGTAGTAGTAGTAGTATTAATAGTAGTGGGAAGAGTAAAAACACACGTAGAAAGACTATAAATTCCACAAAATCATAAAAGAGAAGTGATAAATGGACAAAGAGGAAAAGGAAAGAGGAAGGGAATTCGGAAGAGACTTTCTAAAACACAAGTGAAAGCAGGTAAATAAATATATTCTTATTGTTGTATAAATTACACTAACATTTTAGTACTCTTAATCTTATAATGAAAGCAGGTTTCAAATATGTTTAGTATTGAATTCAAAATCTTCATCAGAAACCACATCTAAATTAGCAAGGTAGAAGCCTTGGGGATCTAAAGACGAGATAGGAATATGTTGGGAAGCTGAACGTCAATATTCCAAGGTGATCATGATTTGAACCAAGGTCAATGTTAACTAAGATATGGTATTCTTGGAAAATTTGACAACCTTGGGTTTTTAGTAATAATGGAGCTCTTTCCTCTCCTATCCCAAGCAGTGTAAAGCATGAGTATCCATATCTCATGGGAAAATGGCATGGAATTGTGTAACTAAATTTTAATATACTGTTGGTTTCTCTCAAATGTAATATGTAATCCTGCGTATAGATATTAGGTTGGAGAAAATAGCATATGTTTAACAAGACAGGGATAATTCATGTACTTTTTTTTGGGTAGTAATTCCTGTACTTTTTGTAAAAAAAAAAAAAGAATATTAAGAGTATAAAAAATTGAGTGTATAAATACTCTTTATACCTTTATATTTCTGTATAATTAATTGGTTATAAAAACATTGATTTAGAAAACAAATTTGCATTTTTAGATATTGCAATATATGTAACATAAAACACAGTTGTAATTAGTTAAGCATTATCCAATCCATCAAAAATTATCACCACACGTTTATCAAAGTTGGGTATCGCGCGGTTATTATTTTTTAAGCAACATCTAGAGAGCTTGTTGTATACACCCGGGTGTATTGTATACCCATGAGTATTTTGTTCTCATTTTGATGATTGTTTTTTATTTAATCATCAAATGAAGAGCAAACAATAACCTTGGGTTACTTGGGTGTATGGTACACTCGGATGTATATAACAAATTTTACATCTATAAAATCTTATTGATATATATAGGGCATTTTTAAGATAGCATTTCTAGAGTATGATTTATTTTAAAAAGGAAATACTTGACAAACACAATATCAAATACACAATATTATTACGAATGAGTGACAGTGTGAGTGGGGGGAGGGGAGGGGAGGGGAAGGGATAAATAGAAGGATGTATTCTAAAATTAAAGAAGTAGATAGTTTAGAGGATAGAGAGAGAGGAGAGAAAAAAGAGAGAACTTTTAACGAACTGATTGTTTTAAAGTATAGGACAAGTACAGGCAAGTAGGAAGATACTTCCTTAAATTTACATAGCCTATTAAATAAATTTTGAGGAGAGCGAGGAAAAGGGAATGAGAAAGGGAGCAGGAAGGTAGAAGGAGAGCAAAACACTTTTGGGAGGCAAAACTTGTGTTTTTGTGTATATTGATTTATAGTCTTTTCTAAGAACACACTTCCTTCAATACTTAGTTTTTGTATGGTGATCTTGTAAAACTCTTTATTAAATGTTTTATACTAAAACGTTCAACTGTATGGTAGAATTGTGCTAGATTCACAAGTAAATGTTTTTTAAAATGTATATATAACCATAGAACGAACCATTAGATTTTAATGTTTTTAAGAATGTTTTTTTGGGAGAAAGAGCATCATTAACACCTATATTTTAAGTTCACTTTTTTTTAATAAAAAAACATTTTAAATTTACTTCTCTATATTTTTTTTGTACTTCATGAAACTTTTTTTTAATGTAAAATTATTATCTTTCTTTAAAATTATTAGACCGTAATTTACTTCATTAATCTTAGTTACAAAATTAAATGGTCTGGAATTTTTTTGATATCTTTAAACTCTAAACCTATCTACATAAGTTCAATTTCATTACTAGATTGACGCAAAATAATACCATTCCTACACTACTAACTACATTTGAGTGACACATTACTAATTAAAAACTACATGATTATAGTTTACGAAGAAAAACATATACGCATTGCAAAAAGGATTATTTATGAGATTGTCTAACATAAATAACATTATAATAACACAAATCAAATTTTAAAAAATACTTAATGATGTAACAGCATCTAATTCTTTTGCTCAATTTAGTAGTTCACAAGCAATCAATCTTGCCCATTTACATATAAAATTATATTTGCCCATTTTCGATTGAGGTAGAAAGAGAGTATCAGTCTTGCATTTAAGAATGTAAACCCATATCAATAGTGATTTCAAAGATAGCCTTATTTTCATGTTCGGAAGATAGAGCTTGTTTCATGAATACATCCTTGTCAAAGTTGTCAATATCTTCACCTAAACCCCTTCTATCAATCTTCTTGCCTTATTTGCGCTACTCATAAAATGAAGGTAGTTTTAAATCTCAGTTGGTTTGTCAATCAATTTAACTTGTAGGCTGTTAGAGAAGCACAAAATAGGCTAGATATTGTTGCAAGAATTTTTAGAGCAAAAGTATTTGCTTTAATTTGAAACATTTAATTTGAATTAAACTTGTGTTTCTGGTTTGATTAGGACGATTACCACTCCTGATTCTTGACTTCTCTTTGGCATGAGAAAAGTTGTTCCAAAATGGTAATGGATCACTGGAAGCTTTGCCTCTGCCTCCACCTCCTGCAACAAAAAGTACTCCGAATGTAGTACCAATTAAGGGTGAACCTGATCCTCTTGAGAGGAAACGTGTCCCTAATACATCTTCACCTTAGTCCCTTCTATCAATCTTGCCTCATTTGCACTACTCATCAGATGAAGGTAAAGAGAGATAGATCTAGAGAGAAAGAGGGGTGAGAAAGAGAAAATAGAGGGGCCGGGATAGAGAAAGAGAGAGAGAGAGATAGAAATGAGCCAGGAGGGGGGAGAGAGGGAGAGAGATAAGGGTCGGAAGAGAAAGAAATAGAGCAATTAAGAGAAAGAGCGGCAGGGAGAGAAAGATAGATAAAGAGATAGATGAGTCGGGAGAGAAAAAGAGAAGGGTCGGGAGAGAAAGAGAGGCTTACTAAACCGCTCAAACTATACAAGAATAGTGGATATGAGGGAGAAAAAAGGAACAAGAAGATGAAAAAAAGCAAGGAATAATAGAAAAGGGAAATGAGATAAGACGAGGAAGAAATATAAGGGAGAGGGTATATATATGAAGGAAGAAGAAATAGAAAGAACTTTGTAACAAGTTAGTGGCTACCACACAAATAAGATCCCCTAATCATCATGTTAATAACACCCCAAGCTAGGAAACACGATCACAACCACGAATCTTACATATGCTTAGGATATAGGAAGAATCCAATAAAATTTCTTATTGCGTTTCACTTTGGAGATTGTATGTATATGATATTAGTATACATTTACATTGTTACATATGCTTTTGATATTTTACAATTGCTTTGGATATTATATTACCCTATAAGTCATGACATTTTATAACCATGAATGAGTGAGAGAGAGAGAATGAGAAGGGCCAAGAGACAGAGAGGATGGCTATGAGAATGAGAGGCCATTTAAAAAGGAGGAAGGAGAATAGGGAGAGAGAGAGAGAGAGTTTGAGGAAATAAAGACAGGAAGGAGAGAGAAAAACTTTTTACAGTGTAACTAAGGAGATGAAAATACTTTTTAGAAACTTTCTAAAATGTTCAAAATTATAAAATGTAAAT